TTCTGATACATTTAATTAAAAAGTTTTATGTTGGGATTGTAAATGTGAGTGGTTTCTGTTTCAAAACATTTCATTTTACTAGCACATACTTCATTTATTATTTATACTGAGCTTAGATCTATGCATGTCCCTTGCAAATATTCTAAAATGCACCTCCTCCCGTCCCGGGGTTCAAAGTTTTCCCTTCCTGAGTGGTGCCATGGTCGTCCCTCCTTCTCACAAAGGGTCCTCATAATAGCTCCTTTCAGTAGTTTGGCTGACCCCTGAGACCCTCACTCACGGCAGCATCCTGCAGAATTCCAACATCAGTAAGCACACAGAGGTGGGTTTGGGGAGGAGTCCCAGGTTCCCGAAATTCCTTCCCTGCCTGTGCCTGGGCTTCCCAATCTCCCAGCACGGCCTCCTTTTAAGAGAGCAGCATGGCGCTAGCTTCCAGCATTCCCTGGGTAGCTATCCCTTTATAATCAGCTTGATGGCCAGGGAAGTCACCTGCCAGCCTCCCTTCTCAGCCTTCAGCCATGTGTCTGTGACGTACTTGTTTCCATACAAATTAATTGTGAGCAAGGAGTTACACCTGCCCACAAACAGGTAACAAAAAACCATTTAATTGGGCAAAATTCTCCTACGGATTATGCAAACTTGGGTACAATTTTTTTTTAAAGCTAAGCAGCACCATCGCTATAACGATGAAGCAGTTAAGCACTCATCATTTTAAGAAGTGCTATTACCTGAGGGTCGACAACATTACCAACAGACTATACCTCAGCACCCAGTTCTGAAATGAGTTAAGAAGAGCTTGGGCCCCACTAGTCAATAGAAACACAGCTCCAAGTAAAGGCTGGTGCCCAGCTCTGCCCACACAAATTATTTAATGACCAGGGTGACCTAGGGACAAGCCCCAGTTGTACGGCAGGATCTGCCTGCCTTGGAGAATGGGGTTTCCATTAAATAATCTTAAGGTCCTGAGATGCCAGGCCTCCCTCCCTCCCTTGCTCTCCACCCCTCCCACCCAGCCCACATGTGATGGGAAGCTGCTGTCCCTGAAGAGGCCCCGGCAGCAGGCAAGGGCAGGCCTGTGGGGGAGAGAGGGGGGAGTCCAAGGGGGTTTCTGCTTCCAGCCAGACGGAGGGTCCTGGGAGGGCAGGGATAGGCCATGGAGCCTCAGGCTCTGAGGCCGGCAGCAGCTCCTACAGATGTAAAGCTCCAGTGGCAGGACCTGTGAGGGCCACGGCAGGGCTGTCCCATGTTACTGAGCCATCAACTCATCAAGGGCTGCCTGAATTTGCATCTGCAAACCAAGAAAGGACAGCACTTTCTTACTGCCAATTCCAATCGATGCATTATGGTAAGGCGAGAGATAGTGACCAGTTCGGAACCTGACATCCACCTTAGTCCGGACGGAAAGATGCACAGCGCCAGCGGATCCGTTTCCGGGATGCGGTGCGTGACTGTGCACAGGCTAATATTGCCTCGGGGTGATCACACAAACCTCCCGTCTGGCATGCAGAAAAAGCACGCACATCAGATTTTTAAAACCTTTAGCCATACTAAGGGTTTGTCGCGGATCAGATCTGATGTCTATTTCTCTAGAATCCTAATTTTAAAAAGTGGTCAATTAATTCAAATGGCCTGTTTTACACATTTGAGGGATATTTCCATTTTCACACATAGCCTTTTTGAACAAGGACAAAGTCACATAACTAAACTTCCTCCTGAATACACACTGAGTCAAGGCAGCTGAACCCCTTACTTTCATTGTTAAATGACTGTTTCTCACACACAATCAGAGTCTCCCAGATTATGACATGCTGCTATAAAAATAGAAGAACTTAAAAGTTAGTTTAAATCTAAAACTTAGGCCCAGAGCTCCATTTTTAGACACACCCTTTAATTTCTTGGTGTTGTCTACATTTTACTTACACTTAAATTTAGCGAAGTAATTTTAGCTCACCCTCCTTCACCACCTTCACTAGATCTGCAATGTCACAAACACCAGGCATTGAATCCGCTCTCTCTTTTCAATACTAAAATGTTTGAAATAAAAGGTAAAGTTAAAAGGGGAAAATCTCTCCCTGGCTAGTTTGGAAAAACTGGTTCGGACAATTGTCCAACCATTGGATGCTCTCGTTGTTGTTTATTTACAGAATAACTGCCTTGAATCAAAAATGTGAGAAGTCAAACATTGACAACGCATCTCGTACAGCTAATTACCCGACCACTAATAAGGGCACCCCCAACACCAAAGAAAGTGCTCCCCCAAGGACATCAAGGCAGGGGGACGGCTGGGCAATCCACGTACAACTGTCAGAGTCTCCAAGAAGTTCCAATTCTTGCTGCTGCCACCAAGTATCATAATTATCTGAAGTTGTGCCCAAAATATTTGAATGCCTCTATCATGTCAGCTTATTTTCCTTGCAAGTGCTACTCCTGAGTTTTGAAGACCTTCAAATTCAAGGTGCAGAACATAAACAAAAGCTGTATTGTGAAGGACTATGCTCCCTGCAAAAGCCCAAGTATCCTTCCACATTGGGAAAGAAAAAAGAACCTTCTGGCATTCTCTTTCCTACTGGAAAACCCTGCTTGGGAAGCAAGAGTTGATGAAGCCAGGAGGTGACAGAAAGAGACCTGCACTTGGAGAGACCCCGCTGTTAACTTCAACTGAGAGATGGCTCTCAACATCACAGAGTTGGAATTTTGCTCAGGACTTAAATCTTGTTTTAGTTACCTCGACCAAATTGTGCTTCCCAGCCTCCGTAAGTCTCATTAGAAACGAGTAGGTGGCTCTGTGTCAACACCTCCGGAATGGAGTTCTATGAACTATCAGGCAACACTGACGTTTATTCAACGCGACAATGTCTCCCCACTCTTCCAGCTCGTGTGACTGACGCTGACCTGCTATCGTTTTTCACTGGGGAAAAGGAAAAAATTTCAGAAACATTAGCTCCTCTGTTTGGTGAAGAAATAAATCCTCCCTTTTACTTATTTATTTTTTTATATGTAAAGATAAGAAAAAAACTGAGAGCTAATATTAATTTTAGAAAAAAGTGTTTAAAGTATTCTGTTATTTACTTACAGGATGAAATATGTTCGATATATGCATAATATGTAAGATTTTAGAATCGTATGTAAGTTAAAAATCATTTTTGACGTCTTTCTGAGATGTTTTACTTCCTACTTACATATCCGGCATTTCACTGGGATCTTAGTCCTTACCACAAATACAATATCTGATTTTGTAAGATTAGAAATTCAACAAGATTTTTCTTTAACATCAAAACAAAACATAAAAATTAGAGGGGGCTGTTTACACACAGGTGTGCATGCAGCCTAATTACACTAGCCAGGCAATAATAAATGCTAATTTTCAAAATTTTAGCTAAAGAATTGAAATGAAATAACCAATAACTCCTTATGAAATAACAGATCAATGTGAAATAATGTATCACAATTCTACCCTTAATTTTTAAAAATAAAGTAATTTTAAAGTGTCACAGAAAGAAGAAACTAAAATTTTAAGTACTATTGGAATTATATATTTCTTAACAAGTATCTCTAAAGATAGAGTACCCATTTGCTAGTTTGGTGTAAATCTCCAAAAGTCACTGACACAAACCAAAGCTAGGGTTACCAAACTGTAAATGGCATTTGTGATGTGAGTAGCACTCCTAAAGCATTTCTTGAGAATTACAAAACTTTACATATTAGCCACAAGTTTGCGTAGCTCACCCTGCTTCTGCTAGAATTGTAATTTCAATGGTGTGATTAGCTCATTGATAGGTCTGAAGCACAAGGAAACTGATTTAGCTGGTTGGGGTTTTTATACAACTTCTGCGGCCTGATCCTCTATAGCTCAACACTAAGAGCTCTGGCCTGGCCCAGGCGCCTGAACAAGCTGAAACCGGCAGAGCAAGGGTTAACCGTAGGAATGTGACAGCTCTCCCTTCCGGGGCTCCAAACTCCTGGGAGAGCTTGAAAGATACTCAAAACTAGTCCCCATGGTAAATAAACTCTATCCCCCATGTATATCACCCGGGGAAGAATAAGATGTATTTTTTATTCGCGCTGAAACTTTTCTGAACTATAGAAACTACAGAAGCTACAAGAAACACGTACAGTGTAAAAATCTGTGGCACATATGATTTCGTTCTTTTGAAGGATAAACGAAATTATCTTTAGATCGACGAAGAGTTGTTATTTAAGTTTGTATCTGCATGGAAATTTTTTATCCATTTTATTAAGGCAGTTTAGTCTGCTATTAATAAGAGCACTTAAATCTTATACTTAAAAAATAATCGTTTCCTCTGCGATGCCTTTTGTGAAACATCCATGCAATATATAACAGCGATACATGGATGATGGGTTTCAGACAGAAACCAGGAGGGCTAGCTTATAAAAACACAGGCTACGTTTTTAACATGCCCAGCTCCCCAATTACGGTGGCACGCTGGAAGCATAACCCTAACAGCTGCAGGCTGAGGGGCGGAAAGGTGAGAAGACAGCGACAGCGACAGCGGGGGACAGCGGGGGACAGCGGGGACAGAGGAGAGAGATCACTACTGGCGCCGAGTGTGCCGGATCCGTGTTCAGGAGCGTGGGGGAGTGCGCCGTCGGAGGGTCATTCTACGCACGGAAGGACCCAGCGGGTAGCGACATCCAAGCCGGTCTCTACTCTTAGCCAAGCGGAGGCTTTAATTCAAGCCTTGTTTTTATTCCAGACGAAGTTAAATAACCCCTTGCTCAGTGCCCCATGAGGTTTGCTCTCCCGGCCCTCGCCAACTTCGGGGAGCCGGCTCCTCTCCATCCATCCGCAGCGGACCGCGCGCCTCCCGGGGACCGGGCACTGGCGAGCGGTCCCTCCTGTCGCCGCACGCCCCACCTGTCCCGGCGCCGTCGGAACAGCCGGGCGGAGCGCGCCCCGCGGGCCACCCCGCCGCCAGGGTCCCCGCCGCCGCGGTCGCCAGCGCGGGAGCCGGGCAGGGCGCGCGGGGCGCGGGACTTACCTAGCCGCGAGCTCCGCCGTCGGGGGAGGGCGTGTCCCGCACGTGTGTGTCCGCGCGTGTCCGCGCCCGTGGGTGCCCGCGCGCGGGCCCTGGCCGTGCGCGCCGAGCCGGGTCTCAGCGACTCCCTCGGCGCCGCCCGGCTCAGCCCATGGTGTGGGCGCCGGCCACGGGGAGGCTCCGGTTCCCGCCAATCGCCGAGCAGGGCGGCCGCCCCGACGCGCCACTCGCGAGCCCAGCCCGGAGCGCGCGCGGGGGCAGCGCGGGGGCGCGGCGGGAGGGGTGCACGCGCGCGTCCAGGTGCGCGTGGCTGCGGGCGCGCGGGGATCCAGGTGGTGGCGCGGGCTGCGGCCGTGCGCGCGGGCGTTCGTGTGCGCGCGTGCCCGTGCGCGCGCCCTCGGGCCCGGGAGCGCGGGCGGCGCGGGCAGGTTTGGACGCTGCGCGCCCCGCTCGGGTTTGGGACGCAGCTGGCGGCTCGGGGGAGGAAGAGGAGGAGGCAGAGGAGGAGGAGGAGCAGAGCCGGGGACCACGGAGGACGGAGTCCGGGCCCCAGTAAGAAAGAAACCCAAGACGCGACTCCAGGAGGGGCGAGGAACAAGGCAAGACGGGGAGGGGAGCAGGGAGCCGCGGAGGTGTTCACCTCGAAACTCTCGGAGTCGCCTTTAGTGAGAAATGACATTTTTTTCCAGCCTCAGTGGAAACCGTTACAAACGCTAAAAATAATACAAGTTAAAAGTGGTTGCCGCCCTCGGAGTTTAAAATGACCACCACGGGCTGCCTTTCTTGCCAAGCAGGATTGGGACCACGTCGCTCTTTGGCCACCGAGGACGCGCGGGTGCGGAGGGGCCGCCTGCTGCTCCAGGACGTGCAGCCGCTACCTGCGCGAGCACCTGTGAGCGGCCGGCGCCGTCGCGAGGACGCCCTGGAGCGGCCGGCCCGTCGGGACGCGGTGACAGCCGCCCCGGGGGACACCGCGCTCGCCAGAAACAGCCACCCCGAAAGGTGCAGCGAGAGGCTGGCTCATCCGTCTCCGGGACGCCGCGCTGAGCCCTCTCCAGATGTTTTCGTTTATAAGTCAATTCCGGTGTCAAAATCGCGCTTACCTGAGCGCTGCTTCTCTTCACTCATGTCCCCAGGGCAGTCACGACAGTCCTGAAGCGACCCCTAGGAACCCGTCCCCAAGCGTACTCTCGCACACTCTCCCCATTGCGACCAAGCGCAAACTACCCACGTCCCTCCCTCTCCAAACTTTAACAGCCAAGAATTTCAGCAAACAGCCAGAAAGAAAGCTAAGTCCCCCCCTCCACACACACACACACACCCCAGGGAAGGGAGGGAATAAGCACTCCTTTAATTTGAAAAATAATAATTAAAACTCCCTCAACTTTTAAGGCCGAGCAACATAATCTATTAATTGGTCGCTATTAACATGCAGTTTTATTGACCATAGCACACAGAAGTCTGATTGTGAAGGAGGAGTGTTTTCAATGAAAGTGGAGTTATTTTAGCTGCAGACGTGTTTACATTTCTGTGGTTTAGTCTATAACTTTCGCTTTTTCTTGCTTCAGAATTCTGCTCCATGAAGCAAAGCCCTTAGCTCCCAGACATTCCAAAAAGTCTGCCAAAATAATAGAAAAAAAAAAAAAGACAGGGAAGAAAAAACACACAGAGACCCCCAAGTCTGGGTCAGGCTCGGGGTTGTACGTGGGTAGGGTGAGCGTACCCCCTCCCCGCACACTTTCCAGTTAAAAAAAAAAAAAGCCTGCAGGGCTCCATTTCCTGTTTGCTGGAGAAAAAATAAAATGGGTCCAAGCAGCTGAGTTTAGAAACCCTTTCCAGTACCTATAGGTTCTGAGAGCATCTTTAACCCTAGAGATGCCAAAATGTGCTCATTCACTAGCCTATGTCCATGAAGATGGACAGCCTTCAGGATACTACAAATGCACTCCTGAAAAATTTCTTGAACACCGTGGTAGTTCTGAGACAAGCCCACCTCTCCATAGGTGGTCAAGAGAAAATAACAACAAAAATAAATGTTGAACACAGATTAAGTTTCTGACAGGCATGCATCCTTTCTGAGTTTACAGTACAGAGAGCAGAATGCATAGTAAAAGGTAAGCACTTGTTTAGTAATAGGGTCTTGTCGACTTACACAATCTGTGTCAAATCTTCGTTTGCAAAACCGATTCCATTTCCTTTAGTGTTGAACGTGCTCACTAGTGACACGAAAGTCACAATACTGCAGTTGACATGGTCCTAAAACATATTTGACCTGTCTCTGAACTATCAAGTGCATATTTTGGTTCCTTTTCTCTCTAATTATTCTCCAAATATTCAAGATAGGCGTTATTTCACTGTATTTGGAAGTCTTCCTCTTAGCCACTGATTTTCAAATCTCACCATAGGGAGCCCTTAACATTTAGAGGAGCGTTTTAAAGTCAACGGATTCTGAACCTGTCCGATGAGATCAGTAGCCCCGAGAGCAATGGCTCTGCTTATGAGCACTACTTTACCCTCCCGTAGTTTCGCGGTCATCATCACTAGCTCTGAAAGTTATAAGATAAAACAGTACTGAGAATAATATTTTGAATGCTAATTGAAAAAGGAACGTGTGTTGAGAATAAAGAAGTGCACTTTAATAGCAGAAAAGAACATGATTTCAATAACTCCAGCTACTACTCTTGAGAAGAGAAATAATGAGCTCAGAAACACCACAATATTTGAGACACCGTCATTTGTGAATTCTCCTCTGTCCAAAAGATATCAGAGAGAGATAGAGAGATAGAGAATTTCTTAAAAGACAAGCAACATATTCTGAGCCCATTCATAAAACTTGGGGCATTAACTTTGAAGAATCTTAGAACCCAGAATCCCAGAGTTTTGCCCAGGTCTTGTTACATCACCTCCTCCAACTAATTGCATCTTATAGTTGTAGGTAGGAAGTTCTTTCTGTTGTCTAGTCTAATCCCTGCCTGCTACCACAGCATTCCCCTCGGTCTGGTCCAGCGTCAAGGTCAAATAGGAAGAGAGCAATTTCAGTGAATTAAATCAAGTAAGTTAATTTGAGAGGCCCCTAGAATGCAAGTAAAAGAGACAGCTTCACTCTCAGTGTTGCAGGGCAAATGCTATAATTCTAATCAAGTTTAAATGTCATTTAAAAGGAACACTTTTAAACACTGCTTGATACATTCCATAGGAATTAGTACTTTTAAGTATTTCATACATGAGATGGTCTTCTTTTATAAAGTTTTGTGGTCAACCTAATTCTTTTTAAGATCCCTTTTATCCGAAAGATGTTTTGGATTAATTTAAGTATTTGTTACTGGATAATGTCAAGCTCTTTTTCAATGAAATGTCCTGAGCTGGGTTGTCACACCTGTTAAATATAAGTCTCCTTTTCTTTTGATATTCTGAGAAGGCCCTTAAAAGGTTTTCATCCTTCAATATGGAGATTTAATTGCTTTACCTATAATAAAAAATAATCCCTATAAAATTCAGATTGTGGATATTTCAAAGCTGAAAGAACTATTGGATAGGGATGTAAAGGTTGCAGTTCAAAAAGTCTCCCACTTTTAATATAGCATGCATGGTGTTATGAGTTATAAAATCCTGGTTATCATTTTGGAAGGTCTGGTTTTTGTTGTCCTTGCACGGAGCGTCTTTGAGCTTGCTTTACGGCTTAGCAGTTCTGCGTGTGCATGTGTTAAATATGGAAAGGGTAGCATAGCCCTCTGCAGTAAATGCTCACAAGGGAGGAAGTCTCAGATTCTGTTTTGAACGAGGTACTGGTGTGAGGTTCCTCACACTGACACATTCGCGTCTTTGGTGAGCTCAAATCTGGCTCTTTGCCATTTGGGAGGACAGACGTGGTCTGAGGAAGGAGACCACACTCATGCTTCAGCCGTTGCCCCTGGCCCCAGCCCTTGCTCACCATCTTCATGCAGTCGCTGGGACCCTCTCTTCATCATGGAAATGGTTCAAGTAGGGCCGAAGCTTAGCAACACTAGAGGCCCCGTCCCATCCCGTTCCAAGTTCCACTTTCCCTCCTGGCAGTCTTTAGAACACACACAGAGAACCCAAGACGTGGAGGAGATGAGAATAAGCAACAGAACATTACAGGTGGGGGTCATAAAGGGAGCATCCTCTGTCCCTCTCATCCCATTCCCTGGTTTCTGTCCTTGACTCTTAGTGAACACAAGAGGACACGTGTACACATTCCCTTAGGGGAGACCTCAACCTACTGCACAAGCGTTATTATTATCTTCCATTATCAGCTGCTCAGAAGTCACTTGTAGGTGTTCTTTCTCCTTCTGGACAAATGAATCGCATGCAACACTCTCACCCTCTGCAGTGCTTTAATAATCTGCGTCAGATGCAGCGTAAGCCTTCTGTACACACAGCAGTTCTTAATAACACGTGGTGACCACAAACTGCTCTGTAAAATTGCATAATGCATAATTCCTATCAACTTGCATAGCACACAGAATAAGTTGATATGAAACACATTGTACATGTGTCAATGAGCTGTGGTGACAAAGGTTATATACAGAATGAACCGGGAGACTCTATTTGTATTTTCAGAGTGGAATTACACACAGTACACCAGGAGATTTGCTCCAGCTCTTTTGACAATTATACTTAGGCAATTTGGTTTTGAGCTTTATATGCTATGACACTAAATCTATCAATGAACAATGTTGTCATGTATGTTTTCAGAATGTGATTACTCATGAGTGTGAAAATGGTTGCAATTTTAGAAAATTGAGACAATTTCTCTTGACTTTTGTACAGATAAAGTCACTGGCATAACAGTACATCAAGGCAAATAAACTCAATATTTTCATGGATTTAATGTGTACTCTGGAATAGCAAATTCTTACCTTATGATCATGGGTGACCTGATGTAATTTCTACAGGTGAAAAGTCCATTGCAGCCTAGGGCAGAGTTGCGTGAGAACAGAGAGCTAGCCCGCTTCAGCTAGATGACCTTGGGCGAGTCATGGCCACTTGCTTGAAGCCTCAATTTTCTTATGTGTTATTAACTGGGGCTGTTGAGGTGGATGACCTCAAATACG